GAATAACATTAGAAACCAACAATACCTAACAGAATACTTCATTTAGCAACAGCAGAATACATATTATTTTCAAGTGCATATGAAACATTCTCCAGGATAGACTGTATATTAGGTCATATATTAGGCCATAAAACAGGTAACAAGTCTTAATAAATTTAAAAGAGTTAAAATCATACACAGTATGTTTTCCAGCTATAATGAAATGAAATTAGAAAGCAATGGCAGAAGAAAATTTAGGAAATTCACAAATATGTGAAAATTAAACATATTAAAATAACCGATGAATCAAAGAAGAAATCACAAGGGACATTATAAAATATTCTGAAATGAATAAAAATGAAAATGCAACATGCCACAACTTACAGGATGCAATAAAAGTTGTGCTTAGAGAGAAAATTTTAGCTGAGATATCTATATATTTTTTAAATGTCTCAAATCAGTAACCCAGACTTTTACCTTAAGAAACTAGAAAAAGAAGCGCATACTAAAACCAATACAAGCTAAAGAAAGAAAATTATTAAATTAGAGTGGAAATAAATAAAACAGAGAATAGAAAAGCAATAGAGAAAATAAACTAAAATAAACTTTGGAAAGTTCAACAAAATTGGCAAAGATTTAGCTAGACTGATGGTGAAAAAAGAGAGAGGGCTACTAAATTACTAAATTTAAGTAATTTATTGTTAAATTTAATAAATTACTAAAATTAAGAAAAAATAGAGAAAAGTATGACCTGTTTCACAGGTCTTAAAAGATATTATAAGGGAATATTATAAGCAATTTTAAGCCAAAAAATTAGAAAACCTAAATGAAATGGAAAAAAAACCTTAGATTAAATAGAAAACACGAACTACCAAAATTAACTAAGGAAAATGTGAATAGACCTGTAATTGCCAAAACTGACTAAGGAGAAATATTAGGCTAGTGCAAGAGTAGTTGGGGTTTTGTCATTATTTTCAATGGCAAAAACCACAATTACTTTTATACCAACCTAACACAAAACCTGAATAGACTGTAATAAGAGATTGAACCAGTAATCAAAAACTTTACACAAAGAAAAGCCCAGGACCAGATGTCTTCACTGGTGAATTCTACCAAATGTTTAAACAAGAATTAACACCAGTACTTGATACAGTCATTCAAAAAATAGAGGAGCAGGGACTATTTCTCAACTCTCTTCTATAGAGGCCAGTATTAACCTGATGACAAAACCAGACAGTGATAACACAAGGAAAAAAATAAATACCAATTTCCCTTACGAATATGGATGCAAACATTCTCAACAAAATGTTAGCAAACTGACTCTAGTGTCACATAAAAATAATTATACACCATGGCCAAGTGGGATTTATCTCAGGAATGCAAGGTTGGTTCAGCATGTGTAAATCGAACAATGGGCCAGTTGCAGTTGTTCATATCTGTAATTCCAGCATTTTGGAAGGCCAAGGTGAGAGGATTGCTTGAGGCCAGGAGTTCAAGACCAGGATGGTCAGCATAACAAGACCCCATCTCTACAATGTTTTTAAAAAATCTAGATGGATGTGGTGGCTTGCACCTGTAGTCCCAACTACTTAGGAGGCCAAGGCATGAAGATTGCTTGAGCCCAGGAGCTCAAGGCTGCAGTGAGCTATGATTGTGTCACTGCACTCCAGCCTGTGTGACCTTGTCTCAAAAAAGAATATTTAAAAAGGGATTTGAATATACATCGTCCTAAAGTTAAAATTGTTAAATTTGTACTTCTAAGTTTTGAATAGTCTATTTTAAAAATGAAAGAATATTTTAAAAACTTACTGATGACTTGACGGTGTTTTGTTCTTACTTTGAAAGGGAAGAATAGAGGAAAATTAAGCATTCATTTTTGAGAGAGATAAAGGGTGCAATACGTATTAGCTTTGACTATTATTTCTTTAAATCATATTTCCAATAGCACTATTTCAAAATATTAAGCTAACAATAATAAATGGTTAATATCATTGGTTTGTGGAATTTATTAGAAGTTCTTATAAAAGGAATGATCTCCTGGAATGTTCTATTAAATAGGTACATCAGATTCATCAGCTGACCATTGAAATGAAATAGCTGTAAAGCAAACAACAGCGTTCAGTGGTGAAAGCAAAGTAAATTTTACATTAGCTATAACCTTCCAAACTTAAACCTATAAGATATTTTTAAAGTCATATTCACTGAAATGTAAATGTAGGAAAGAGATGCTTGAACAACTAGAGTTTGTCTTGAGAAATTTGTGATGGAATCTAAGATAATTTGTAATAATTTCTTCTAGAATAAAAATAGTATTTATAAGTTTAATATATCAAAACACTCATATGTAATATCTTACTTAGAATAAATCTTTAAAGTCAGAAAGTGTGGGCTTTTCAACTTTGTTCCTTTCTTCCTAAGTTTGTATTCTGGGTCCCTTGCATTTTCATGTGAATCTTAGGGTCAGTTTGTCAGTTTCTGCAAAAAAGCCAACTGAAATTTTGATTGGGATTGCACTAAATCTGTGCAATCCCAATCAAAATTTGGAGGATACCAATATTTTAACAATCTTAAGTCTTCCAATGCATGAATGCTTTTCATTTACTTAGACCTCTTTAATTTCTTTCAATGATGTTTTATAGTTTTCAGTTCTCCCACTGCTTTCGCTAAGTTTATTTCTAAGCATTTTACTCCTTTTGATGATCTCTATTATAAACTGAATTGTTTTCTTGATTTCAGTTTTGGTTTGTTCAATTCTGTAAAGAAATACAATTGATTTCTGTATAGTGATCTTGTATCTTGAAACCCTGCTGAACTCATTTATTTATTTTAGTAGTTTTTGGTTTTGTTTTTCTTGAGACAGAGTCTCACTCTGCCACACAGGCACAATCATGGCTTACTGAAGCCTCAACTTCCAAGGCTCAAGTGATCCTCCCACCTCAGCCTCCCAAGTAGCTGGGACTATAGGCGCATGCCACCACCTCTGGACAATTCTTTTTTTAAAGATAAGGTCTTGCTATGTTGCCCAGGCTGGGCGCCTCAAACTCCTGAGCTCAAGTGATCCTCCTGCTTGGCCTCCCAAAGTGCTGGGATTACGGCATGAGCTGCCATGCCAAGCCTGAAATTTCTTTAAAATTATTTTTATCTTTCCTTCAGTGATAAGGTTCTTGCCTATATTTTACCCAAGAGGCAATTAGTTTCCTGTGTATTCCTCTATTTCATCTCTCTTTGTATATTTAAAATGAAAATAATTTAAATATCACACTTCAGATCTGGCAACTAATTATGTAAATAGTCATATGAATCCTTCAGAATGAATAATATGGCTTTTCTGACTGGGATGAAATAGTTTTCAGGTGCTCATTCTTTATATCATTAGCTTATCTTAGATCATTGGTTTATCCTCCATTCAGGTATAATAGATCTGGTTTTTTTCTGATGAATATGGGAGATTAGGGAAATACATCTATGGCACAGTATGCTAGGCCATTCTTCTAGACCACCCTTCTTGATTGTAACTTTAAACTCTTTATCAGAAAGTAAACAACTTTTCAAAAGATGTATACACATTTTTATCCAATATTTAAGGCTATGAGTAATTCATTGTGTCACTCTTAATCTTTTTCACCTGATTAATGATCTTGACAAAAATATTGAATATTAGTTTTCCTTCCAATTTGTAAGTTTGTATAAACATCTCTCTTTATTGGTAACTATCTCTAAAAAGAGACAAATCATTTGTAAGTTTCTAACAATAATTGAAAACTTGAATATAAATATATTTCACCTATGATAACTATGTACCCAAGGCAAGGCTGAAGTTGGGATCTAAATTATCTAAAACGTTATTCACCTCTCCAACTCTACTTAGGCATATAAAAGAATGGTTCCTGGATTCACGTTGTAACAGTTCTAATCCTGGCTCTGCCATTTTACATGCTATATGACTTTGGACAGGTTATTTAAACTCTCTGTGCCTCAATTCTTCATCTATAAAATGTGGTTAATAAGAGTGCCCAGCTTATAGGATTGTTGGGGTAATAAAATGAGTCAATATATGTAAAGTGCTTAGAATAATATCTGGCATATAGTCAGTACAGATGTTAATGTTATTGAGATTTCATTTACTTTTGGATTGCAAAAGGAACCGAAAAGAGCCAGTTCTTACTCTATTTCAACATGCAGGAACAAGTAAATAAAATATGGTTTGAATTTTGTCCTGAATGCATTAGCTTGAATCTAACTAAAACCTGGTTACTATATTAAAACAATTTTCTCTTCGGTTTGCCCAGGAGATTTGTTTTCCATTTATGTCTAAAATAATATTCTTTCTTTTTATTCTTTTCACTATATATATTTTTTATTGTTTTTCATTTAATAGTGATGCATAGTGTATCTTCTCTGATTTACTTTAAATGTGAAAGAAAATTCTAAGATGTTAATATTATTACTGCCATAGATAGATCCCTTACAGGAATTAATTAATAGAAATAGAATCAAAGTAAATTTAGTTATATAATGCTTAGCAAGTATTATATTCTCAAAATCTGTATTCAGTTTCAGACATATTCATGACTGAATATATGATCTGACAATAATCGGCTCATATAGATAAAAACATCATTTGAGTGGATTAATTTGTTAATTCAACTGGTATGTACTGAATAAAATCCATGCATCTTTCAAAAATAATTTTTACTAATACTTTCTATTACTATCAGAATCTGAAATCTCAGATTTCATACTTTAAAAATAATTCATTTAACATTAATTATAAATTATAATCACTTACATGAATTGTATAGTTAAATAAAATAACCAGATAAGTGGTGCTCCATTCAACATATTAATTGTAACCAATAAATTTGTTAACTGTGTCTCAGTGATGCCAGTTCTTTCTTATTGTTTGAGAGTAATCACAGTAGCTACATGCTGTGCTGGGATCCATTTTATACACAAGTCTCTTTACTTCACCATAACTGAGTAGAGACAGCCTAAGTCAGCCTAAGTCACTCAGTACTTCTTGTTTTCCCCAAAATTAGCTGGTCAAAGTTCTCTGGGATACAAAAGGTGAATGTGGTAGCAGACAAACTCATTATAAAATATAGATTCCATCTATCTCACTAAATAAGTTCAGCTTGAAGCTTTTACCTTAACAAAATTCTATGATCATTACTCACTTTTGTCTTGACATTATCCTGATAATAATCACATAGAATAATCAAGTCCTGTCAACCTCTGAACTTCAGTTTCCTTATCTGTAAAACCCCTTTCATTCCCTCTCTAGTTCTAAGAATCTGTGATTCTAATACTATTTGCCTTACTCCTAGATTCAATGTAGGCTCACATTGTAAATTGCTTGATACAAAACAAGATATCTGTGCATTCACCTGTATTACTATTTGCAGACTAAAGTAGCAAAATGAAAATGTCATTTCAAAGATAGTCCCCCTTTAGACCATGTAGTAGAGAACATTGTAAACTTCTGCATCATCACGAAGTCCTCACATTCTTAGAAAAGAACATATGTAACTATTACGAAGTGCATTGAAAGTGTCTAAAAATTCGTCTCCTGTGATTGGATTATGCAAAGGAGAAATGGAGTTCTTTGAAGTTTCACTGCTAAGTGTGTGGGGAGACTGAGATATCTTCTTGATTTGTGCTCATGATTATTCTGGTTCATTCACTGTAATGAAATAACCTTTTAAATTATGCCATTTAATGTAATAACAAAGTTTGTAAAAAAAAATTCTTTACACTTAAAAATGGCTTTCATTTGAAAACTTCCCAAATACGCTCTCGAAATTGTTAATTTCTCAATCAAGACGCAGGGTGGCGCTGCAGGCTAAGTTGTGAATAAAGAGCTCTAAAAAGCTCGCGTATTCTTTTGTGTCGCTAGACGAAATAAAAAACACACGGAAGAAGTGTTGCAAGCAGTGCAGGGTTACCAACGGTTTGGGGCAGCGATATACTAAACGAATTTAATATTAAAGACAACTTTGTGACGATTCCTCCAAGCAAAAAATTAGAATTGAATGTCTCAAGTCTTTTTGCACTTGCTGAAGGGATTGGATATAAGGACCTGGACTCCAACATGAAGAAGCTAGAGAGAGTTCATCCAAACAGGCAAGTGTTGGCCTTTATTTTGGTGGTGTTCTTGTCTCGGGCCCGCCCCGAGCCTATTTGTTATTCTGTGTTGGAGGAAACAGAGAGCGGCTCCTTTGTAGCCCATCTGACCAAGGATCTGGGCCTGGGAACTGGGGAACTGGCCGCCAGGTCAGCCAGGGTGGTGTCTGACGATGACAAGCAGCGTTTGCAGCTGGATGGTCAGACTGGAGATTTGCTTCTGAGGGAGAAACTAGACCGGGAAGAGCTCTGTGGTCGTATTGAACCGTGTGTACTGTATTTCCAAGTGTTCCTGGAAATGCCGGTGCAATTTTTTCAAGGAGAACTAATGATCCAAGACATAAATGACCACTCTCCAGTATTCCCTGCAAGGGAAGTGCTCTTGAAAATACCGGAAAATAGCCAGCCAGGGACTCTATTTCCATTGTTAATAGCTGAGGATTTGGATGTGGGCAGCAATGGTCTCCAAAAATACACAATCAGCCCCAATTCTCATTTTCACGTTCTCACTCGAAATCATAGTGAGGGCAAGAAATACCCAGATTTGGTGCAGGACAAACCACTGGATCGAGAGGAGCAGCCTGAGTTCAGCTTAACCCTCGTGGCGCTGGATGGTGGGTCTCCACCTAGGTCTGGCACAGTCATGGTTCGAATCCTGATCATAGATGTCAATGACAATGCTCCTGAGTTTGTGCACACCCCATATCGGGTGCAGGTCCTGGAAAACATCCCCCTAGACTCTCCAATTCTTAGGGTCTTAGCTAGAGATGCAGATGCTGGAAACTTCGGGAGTGTTTCTTATGGCTTATTCCAAGCATCAGATGAAATTAAACAAACTTTCGCAATAAATGAAGTCACCGGAGACATACTACTGAAGAAAAAATTGGATTTCGAAAAAGATAAATCTTACCATGTAGAAATTGAGGCCACAGATGGAGGAGGCCTTTCTGGGAAAGGCACTGTAGTCATAGAGGTGGTGGATGTGAATGACAATCCCCCAGAACTTATCATATCCTCACTCACCAGCTCCATCCCAGAAAATGCTCCTGAGACGGTAGTCTCTATCTTTCGAATTCGAGATAGAGATTCTGGAGACAATGGCAAGATGATTTGCTCTATTCCAGATAACCTACCGTTTATTCTAAAACCGACTTTGAAGAATTTTTACACCCTGGTAACAGAGAGACCACTGGACAGAGAGACCAGAGACGAGTACAACATCACCATGACCGTGACTGATTTGGGGACACCCAGGCTGAAAACCCAGCAGAGCATAACCGTGCTGGTCTCCGACATCAATGACAACGCCCCCGCCTTCACACAAACCTCCTACACCCTGTTCGTCCGCGAGAACAACAGCCCCGCACTGCACATCGGCAGCGTCAGCGCCACAGACAAAGACTCAGGCACCAACGCCCAGGTCACCTACTCGCTGCTGCCGCCCCAGGACCCGCACCTGCCCCTGGCCTCCCTGGTCTCCATCAACGCGGACAACGGACACCTGTTCGCCCTCCGGTCGCTGGACTACGAGGCCCTGCAGGCGTTCGAGTTCCGCGTGGGCGCCACAGACCGCGGCTCCCCGGC